CCGCCCAATCAAATTCGTGCTCACATGTTTGATTTGAAGTCTCAGTTTCTGATGAAATTAATATATAGTGGCTGGGCTTTCAACATTACATCTGTTTTATTGATTGCAGGGCTCAAAATCTTGTGCAGTTACTACCCTGGGTAGGGGTGGTAGTGATTTAACAGCGACAACCATTGGTAAATCCCTAGGCTTGCGAGAAGTTCAGGTGAGATTAGGCTCTGAATGTATGTAACAACAGAACTCATGTAGATATGCACCCTATCATGCTTGCATTCATCACTTGTGTTTATTCTGATTGCATGCTGATGGTTGTCTGTTATTTTATTGATGTTAGCTAACATGGCTAGCATTTTATTGGAGATTTTGTGCATTTCTTTTTCTAATTAACAGGAACCGTATGCTAGTATTCATTTTGAATTTATTAGGCGAACACATATAGAAGCTAATTTAACAGTTTTAACAGGTGTGGTTTGCATTCATCACTTGTGTTTATTCTGATTGCATGCTGATGGTTGTCTGTTATTTTATTGATGTAGCTAACATGGCTAGCATTTTATTGGAGATTTTGTGCATTTCTTTTTCTAATTAGCAGGAACCGTATGCTAGTATTCATTTTGAATTTATTAGGCGAACACATATAGAAGCTAATTTAACAGTTTTAACAGGTGTGGAAGGATGTTGATGGTGTTTTGACCTGTGATCCTAGTATATGTCCTGATGCGGAACCTGTTCCCTTTTTGACTTTCGATGAGGCAGCTGAGCTTGCATATTTTGGTGCTCAGGTAGATTCTGTTTACTCTTGCAGTTTAGATGTTATTTTCTAATTAGAGGACTCAACCAGTTGGTTGAAATTTTAGTCTTAATATTATCTCTGCAGCATGTGTTTATGAGAGAACCTATGGCTAGAGACAGAGAGTTAACATAATGAAGGGATACTGCAGAGTTTTTTTTTCCAAGTATTTATAGATGGGTATAAAGTGGGCTTTGGACTCCCATCCATGAAGTGCGCATTAGACTCCCATCCCATCCATGAAGTGCTTTGGACTAAGTTTGTGGACTAAGACTTCCACTAAAGCAATATTTGTATTCAATTCATGAGCATCTTTTATTCAGATGATGAGCCCCACTTTTTTTCTTTTATAATTGTGATTATACAGACAAAGCATTCATCTAGTAATTTGTATGACGAAATATAGATGGAGTCTTGATGAGAGCTAGCCATTTAGCATCGGTAGTAGAAATAGAGCACTTAGGTAGAAAGATAAATATAATTGCACTGACAATTGCGCAGGTTCTACATCCACAATCCATGAGACCAGCTAGAGATGGCGAGATTCCCGTTAGGGTCAAGAACTCTTATAACCCTAAAGCTCCTGGTACCCTCATCACTAAAACAAGAGATATGAGCAAGGTTTGGGCAGCTTTATCTTCTCTTTTTTTTATTTTTTTTCTTGAGAATTGAAATGTGTGTAAGAATTCAAACATTCTTGATCTTTTATTTTTACCCCAATCTATCCCTTGAAATCAACTTCAGGCTGTTCTAACCAGCATAGTTCTGAAGCAAAATGTCACCCTGTTGGATATTGTCAGTACACGCATGCTTGGTCAAGTTGGCTTCCTCGCAAAGGTGAGAAACTCTTTGTTTCCTTGGTTTTGTTTTTGCAGTTGTTGCCATATTGCTTTTCTGGTTTTGGAATTTCTGATTGTAATTGTCATGATGCCCCCCCCCTACGGTGGGATTCATCATCCAAATAGGTGTTCTCAACCTTTGAAGATTTGGGCATTTCTGTGGATGTTGTTGCAACAAGTGAAGTCAGTTTATCTTTGACATTGGATCCATCAAAGTTTTGGAGTAGAGAACTAATTCAGCAGGCAAGCATACAATCTTATGTTCTTCATGTAGGATTTATTTGTTTTTCTTAGTTGTAATTCTTTTAAAGCTGTGTATACCTTTTCAATGTCCCAGTGAATAAGAGGCATCCTTTTGTAAGGATGCACAATGTAAAATACATAAAGATACACGGTGCGAAACTCATAGACAATAGATATTCATTGTCAGTCTCGACGTTCGTGTTAGTTAGGAGCCAACACTGATACATCACTAGTTGAAAGATTTGTCTGTGCTATTTCTAATTTTCTGAATGCGTACAAATTGGTGACATATGTAACAGGAACTTGACAAGATGGAGGAAGAACTTGAAAAAATTGCATTCGTGAATCTTCTGCAGCGTAGATCAATCATCTCACTCATAGGGAATGTTCAGTATTCTTCATTGATACTAGAGAAGGTGTTATGTTTGCCTCTGCAATGTTCTAGAATTTGTCCAGAAGAGATGTTTTCTTTTCCTCTTCTTTCTTATCTCATATAGTTGGCTTTCCTTCTCGCAGGCATTTCATGTTCTTCGAACCAATCAAGTCAATGTCCAAATGATCTCGCAAGGGGCATCGAAGGTCTCTCAGTTATAACTCATAATATTTCACTCATTCATTATTTTTCTTTGCTGTCTAATAATTGATTTGTTATAAATCAGGTAAACATCTCATTGATAGTAAATGATAGTGAAGCTGAAAAATGTGTCAAGGCCCTTCACCATGCCTTTTTTGAGAGCGATGACCTGTTGGTGGTAGTACTGGAATCTGGATTTGGAAATGGGTCTGCCGCGCTATTGCCAATAGAAACATGATGATTCTGAGCCAATGTAATCTTATGAACACAATTTTCTTTGCTGATTTAGGCCCTTTTTCTTGTAACTGTAGTTGCAGACTTATGAGTCACCTCCATCCGAATTTCTTAAGAAGTTGTTTTTCTTTTTTCTTTTTCCTTTTGCTGAAATGAACTGGAAATTCAAGGTTTTATGCTATGCTTATATACTTCCCATTGAGTATGTCTTGCAGAGCAATTTACACTGGTCTAACTTTTTGGAGATTGGCTACTCTTTCGATAGTCCGCAGTGTGCTTTCGACTATTATGCAATATTTATATTAGTTAGAGTAGATTTTGAAATTCACTGTAATAGTAGGCAACGCATAATTAATTTCAAATATATTTGCAGGAACAAAAACGCATATATAAGTGAAACTAAGAGCTAAAATCCATATACTAGACCTTAGCAAAATAATATATTTCTAACTGGAGGGTTCAAAATTATTGTGGGTGCCTCTATTGAAAATAGACCTTAGAAATAATAATTTTTTTGGCGCCAACTAGATTATTGTTCATGAAAAGAAGAAAAAAAAAACACAGAAAAAGGCACGCCGGTAAAAACCAAGATGGGTTTTTTGTTAGGCCCGGGTTTTTGTGATTTGGACCAACCAAGTATAAATTTCCATCTGACTGTTGACATTGTTGCTTCTGGCTTCAGCTCAACCATGGTACAGAGATTTTTCTCAGTGAGGCAAATGGACCTCCAACAAAACAGCCAATCCCACCCTGTTATGCTTCTCTCTGGCCCTCCTTCCTGGTATTCAAAATTCAACTTTACATCTCTCTCTCTCTCTCTCTCTCTCTCTCTCTTATTGCTTTGTATCTTTGTTTTTTTGCAGCGGAAAAACCTCCTTAATATTCCAGTTTGCATTCAACTCCGCAATGGAGGAGGCCCACCATGGCAATACTAATGGTAAAGTGATGTTCATTTGCAACCGCCGCAAGTTAGAGGCCAAGCCCCCCTATCTGTCCCAGGTACCTCTTCTCTTTCTTTTTTTTCTTTTTCTTTTTTAATAAAAAAATCTATTTATTATTTGAAATATTTCAGTACCCAAAAGCCATTTTTCTGTGTTAAACATTTTCAGGGCGTTGATTCATCCTCTGAGACATTTCAACGCATACAAATGAAGTGCGTTTACCCTTTGAAGCTTTCTTGATCATGACACTTCTAAAGAATGAAATGAAGAATGATGATGTATAATGGGATTTTTTAGACAAGTTTTCATCTTTATAGGTATGTGGATGATGATGAAGGAATTAAGAAGTACTTTGCTGCATTTCACCTGCACGACACATTTCCTGTGGCAGTTGTTATTGATGATTTTGGAGATTTCTTTGACGAAAGGTATTTCCTTTCTTCTTTTCTTCTTCACTTGTGTCAATCTGTTCATTTAATTTAATTTAATTTTTTTACTTGCAATTAAAGGAGCTGCCAAGAAAGATATGGTAACCCACGTGGAAGAGACTTAGCAATGGTTCGGACACTAGCTTTATGTCACAATGCCATGGTTCATGCCAAGTGAGTAATTAACCATTTTTAATTATAATTAGTGACTTAATTTGCTCTGTTTAGTAACAAAAATAGTATGGTAAGCTTTAATTTTTCATGGTAGTGAAACGAGTCCTTGCAAGCTTCTGCTGTCTGATACACACCATGGAGACTCCCCAAGGTTGCTCTTCATCTACAAAAGATGGGTCACAACCATTTTTACAATTCAAGGTTTTTTTAGCAATGGGACGGTTATGCATTATAATTTTATATGGAATTGTAGAATAAGTGTTCTTATTTTTTTTGGGTATATGATCTTTGCAACATATTATAATTGGGTGTTTGTGTGTGTGCTGAAGGTGATGGCTCTGGATCGTTTGTTCTAAAAGACTATAGCAATTCAGGGAGAAGAACAAAGACTGCTAAGTATTCCATTGCTCTCCAGTATCTTTTTCTGGAGGAGATCACTGAAGCGAGTGAATAGTAGGTGTATCGAATTTAGGCTCAAAATTACTCGAAGCTCTGCGACATTTGATGCCTAAACATGTCAGTGTTAATATCTGCTTCATTGTTCTTGTTCATAATGTGAGTTTCTGTAGAAACCCTTAGAACTGTGTGATGTGCAAGCTCTGAAACTTGATATGATCAGTAAATAGCATTTCAAATTTCAAGAAACAAATCTTTTCTTAGTTCTAATCATTGGAGAATATACTTGATTCATCAATTATCTGGTTTTGGAGTTGTAGGTAGCATCCCTGATTCAGAGTTTTTCAAATATTGAAGCAAAGAAAATTGTGAGGATCAGAATTTGCAACTAGAATTTCCCAACTGGGCTATTCTTACCTGTTCATGTTCATTATTTATTATTCAAGAACATTGCCAGCTACCCTTCCAATTAGTAATTATTCACAAAATTATTAGAGTCAACAATAGAGCTGAGAAGAGAAAAGAAAAGATCTCATGGAGCGCCTAGTGAACCCCTCTCTGATACTCAGGCTCGCAAAATTCTCCTCCCAGATCATCACAAGCCTCTCCAGGAAAGACCCTGCAGCAATCATCAAGATAAAACCATTTTAGGCAATCAAAAAGAAAACACAAAATTACAGACCTCAAACCAATAAAAGATTATTCATCTTACGTCTTGGGGCTGTCATACTCCAGATAATCTCTATCCAACTGCTCAGAAGTAGTCTTGGCTGTGTTGTCCCTGTCTTCTGGTTTGAGCTTCACCTCAGGATACATTTCGACATCACAAGCTTCTCCTCCGATTGTGTCGCAAGCCTCTGCTGGAAAAACACTGTAAATTTCACAAATTAATGCTTATGCTTGAGCAAACAATTGATCAGAATATTAAGATCAATCAGAAGAAAGAGCTGAGAATGGTATTGACTTACGAAGTGATGGAGCTGTAATCAACAGCAGAAGGGTCTTCTGTGACATTGGCTGCCTTGAGTGGGGGGCACCTTGGGGATTTTAGTAGCCTTGGAATGGAGGAGCTGCATGGCAAGGCAAGGGACTTGGTGGTGGTGGGTGTTGCAAGGGCAAGGGGTGATACAGATGGTGGTGGGAGATGTAGAATGGCCTGCATTTTGTTGGAAGTAAGTTAGTTTTGATTTGCTCGAGTTAAGAGGGGCAAAAGCTCACCACTATAATATATCAGCCCGGGCAATGACTTGGATGGATATTGGATAAGGTAGCATAGATTTTTTGAGACCGGATAAGATGTTAGCTTTCTGCTTGAATGGGAATTTGGTGGTGAACTAAATGGATTTAGATTTCGTCCACAAAAACAAAACTAAATGAATGGATTGAGAGATGCTCATACTTGGATTTTTCTCCCACACGCCGTTTTCCAACTCCAGTTTTTGTCTTTCTTTGATATTTCACCCACAGCCCAAAGTGAGACAAAGCAAACACCTTCCGGCCCAAACAATTGCAATTTTTCCCAACAGTAGTTTTTGTATATAACATGAAGCCCAAGGTCCAAAAAGCTAACAAACTATACCCCTGACCCTAAAAAAAAATTTAGTTGCAAGAGTCATAAATGCTATAACTCATTTTTAATAGGTTCATCTCTTTTAAAAAAATAATTATCATTAATTAAAGGTTTGAAATATTCATTAAATAAAGGTGCATTAAATTATAGAGAGCCACTAAGAGTTATTTCTCTCTCCTCAAATTTATGAGCTCCTAGAGGTCTTTCTATTTTAGGAGGTAGATAGAGAGCCTGGTTGAAGTTGTATTTTTTCAATTCCTCCCTAAAATTTGTCTTAAAATGTAGTTTAGAAAGCCCATTATTAATGCTCTTAGAGCATCTACAATGATGCTCTCTATTTCTTAGCTAAAATTTAGCTAAAAATATAAGAAAGATATTTTAGGAGCTCTCTAAAAAATTTCAACTCCAACCATACTCCCTAATTTGGAGAATCATAAATGCTATAACTCTTTTTTGATTGGTCCATCTCTATTAAAAAATAAAATAAAAAATAGTTAGCATTAAATAAAGGTTCTAAGGAGGTGGTTTAAGGAGCCCATTGCGGATGCTCTTAATAATTAAAAGAATGGAAGGTTGGGTTCTACTTACAGTCACAGCTGGAAGTGGTTAGGTCATCTTTTCTAATCCCTCCCATGCTTTTTAACTCGCTTTTTTTCTTTTTTCTTTTTTCTTTTCAAGCATGCTAATTTTGGGCCCAAATTGCATGAGCTGCCTGGTTTCTCAGTATCCCCACCACATGCTTTTTCCAGTCTCTTCTTGCTTCCTAGTCATGTACATCACATGTGGATACAATTTGTGACACACTTTAGGAAAGACAAACTCAACCAATAATGGCTTTTACATCTTCCAAAATAGAACCATGGGGATGGGGATCACAGCAAGAAAGTAAAAGGAACCTTTAAAAAGAATTATTAATCCAATAAGCAAGGTTATTAAAATACTCATATTGCTATTTGATTCTTTTATGAAATATTATGTAGACTGCGTGTTACTTGGTTGCATCCACCTTAGAATTTGAATCCATGCCTACAAGAACACTGACGTACCAAAAAAGAATTGTATATCACTGAGATAGCACTATTTTGATGTTTCCAGCCAATCACGTTCCGCCACGCATTGTAACTATTCAGCATGATATAATATAATTAGTTGAAAATAGCAAATGGACATGGAGGTTTTTCTCAGATTGCACATCCACACAGAATGGTTATTGAAGCAGGCATGTAGAGAATAGTCCAACTTCACAGGTTGAAAAGACCCGTGATTTTGAAAAAAGTAATGTCCGGAAAAAGACAGCCAGCAAATCCCTACCATCAGGAGGTGAAAAACACAATAATAGAGATGGGCCCCACATGGGTTATCTGCTCATACTTACTCCAAAGTTAGAAATTTCCTTGACTTCTTCACCACAGTCAATGTACATACATTACAACAGGGAAGCTTACAATTTGAAAAGACGTGCAGATTGCAGACCAAAACCTGAAAGCAAACATTTCTGAAGTCTAGTTCCCCAAAATCTACAGAAATAGAAGCTTCAACTCAACAAAATACTTACATCTGATTCAAAAACTGTGCAGTTGGGTTAGCATGTGAACAAGCTCATCACTTGAGGGTCTCTCTGCTGGCAAATCTGATAGGCATACAACAGCAATTCTCACTGCCATCAACATCTCATCTTCCTCCCCCTCTTCCCCTATTATACTCTTATCTAATGCTTCCCGTGCCTCCCCGGCTTGCTGCAAGTGCCGCAGCCACCGTCCTAAACTTCCACCACTAGCTGCTTCCCCAAAGAAGGGGTCAGTTGGGTCTCTACCAGTTAATAAAACACCCAATATCATCCCAAAGCTGAAAATGTCGCTCTTATCACTGTACCTGTCAAAATTGAATATAATGCCTTTAGTGTTAAGAGTATATCCGTTTTCAGTAAGGAAAAAGAAATTATCCACTGTTGGTAATTGTTCTTTCCATTCACTCTTCCTTTCTAAGGGGGGGGGGGGGATTTCTCTTTTTTGTTTCTATACTACAAGCTAGTCAGTATAACACAACTGCTACATATAAAACCCCATAGCATCAAAGTTAAGGCAAACATCAATAAACCATCAATATTCTGAAGTTCTACAAAGCCTTATATCTTAACAATATGAGAATAATCCAGCTCCAAGGGAAACTTTCAGAATTCCATACAGGGGCGAAAAAAAGTGCGACAAAGCGTGTGGGATTTCAATCCCACCCACAAAACACACACCCCTGTATTGGCCGTGCGCTTCGAGTATCCATCACCTTGTGCAGGAGAGCGAGACATTTGAAAAAGAAGAAGCTAAATGGCTAATGGAAATTAAAAGGAAGCAGACATAATCCAATCCTGCCCCAGACTAAACATTTGTGATGTGGAATACCAAACTCCTGATAAGTATTGTAAAAGCAAGAAAATTAGTAGGAACTGTGCACAAATATCATTAAACCCAATTACAAGTTCCACAAATATATCAATATGGCTTCCTCAACAGAATAGCATAGTAATTGTACAAAACGAAACATTGCCAAGTTTGGATATTATCAAAGTTTGATATGTGTACCTGCCATTCTGGAAACACTCTGGAGCGCTGTAGCCAGATGTTGCTCCATCCAAATAAGGAGTAAGCTTGGCCAACCCATAATCTCCCAATCTTGGTTCAAACTCCGAATCCAACATAACATTTGTAGGCTTTAAGTTGTAGTGCATAATCTGAGGAACATACGAGTGAAGATACTGAAGCCCCTTAATCACCCCAACTGCAACCCGAAGCCGAACTTCCCAACCAAGCTGCAACTGGTTTTCTCTAACTCTATTCATAGCATCCTCTAGGCTCCCATTGGGCACAAAATCATAAACCAAAGAGAACCTATCGTGTTCACGAACATAAGCCCTCAGGCTCATCAAATGCCTATGCCTCAGGCCAGCAAGAACTTCAAGCTCCTGCTGTATTCGCCTCTTCACCGACTTGCTCTGAGACTCTGGCGAGCTACACTCGGAAAAGGGTCCAAGCTGCTTGACTGCAATGATAAGCCCATTTTCAAGAACAGTCCTGTAGTACTTGCCATTTGGGCTAGAACCCAGTAACTGGTTTTCATTAGTTAATGCCAATTGGAGCGTCTTGGGATCGATTTTCGGAGAAAATATGACAGGGCCTTTTAGAATTGGGGTTCTGCTAATGTAGCGGAGAAAGCAGCGGACCAAGAAAGCAGTGAGAAGGGCACAAATTAGTCCTGTCACTACTCCCAACACAATGCTGAGAATGATTCTTTGAAGCTGGTTCTTGAAGTGGGGCTGCTTTGACGGCGATGGAGGGTCAGTTTCTTGGCACTGCACAGTTTCTTGGCGAAAGCAGAATATGAATAGCAAAAGGAGAAGCCTAGTAAGCCTACTGTTCAATTTTGAAGTACTTCTTCTATCCATTAGAGAGTAGAAAGCCACAAATCTCAAAAGCAAGACAGTGAGAGCAAAGGCTCAGAAAAGCTGAACTGAAACCCACATGTTACATATAGTAGGCAAACCAAGAGCTTGAAGTTAAATAACCCAGATGAAAATAAACAAAACCAATCTTAAAGCTCAAATCTTTCTTGAGTATTGACCACACAAACTCAGAGTAGCAGCTGCTTTGGCGTCAAAAGCTCAAATTTTTGCTTTGTTTTTCTCAAGGCTTTAGCCTCCATGGAGCTTGGAGACGCAGAAAATGCAACCCAGTCTAGAAATGCTTGAAGTAGTGGGGAAAAGTGCGGGGAGAACCCATGAGAGAAGCTTCAAGGGGCACATGAAAGAGGAGAATATCAGATAAAAATCGAATTTTTTGACGCAAAAATCCTCAGAAGAAAGACGCAAAGAATCATTTCGTCACCGATTCGCATCTTTTTCTCTTCAAGCCCCTCATTTACACCCCTTCAACATGCCCAAAAAACAAATAACAAAAACAAACCCCCACTACTCATTAGCAGAGACACAGAAATTGAAGAACTTAGAAGACCCAAAATGCTTGCCAAAAATGACAAGAAGAAAAGAAAGGGCAAGTTTTAAAACTTTGCCGAGTCAAAGTTAGAGACAGTCACACACAGAGTCTCACCAAACAAAGCAAGTCCTTTTCTTCACAAACTACACAAGTATACAATACAACAACAACCCGGTACTCTTCCTGCCTCTGGCTACCACTATTATTATCGTCCCTTGTAAGAAAATTCAAAAATACAAACAAAACTCCCTACCTCTCTCACTGTATTTCTCTCTCTCTCTCTCTCTCTCTCTCTCTCTCTCTGTGTCTGAGAGGAGAGGTACATTTTACACACACTTTCTCTGGCTCTTTTTGCTTTTCTTTCTCTCTCATGCGGAGGACAAAACTGGGCTTCCCGCCTTTCAGACTACCAAGCCCCGGGGTCCACTGCGCCACGTTGGCACTGTGTCGCTATCACGAGGGCCGAAAGCGAAACATCGAACTGTGTGAGACAAGCCCGAGCAACGCCAAATACATATCCGCCGTTGGCTGGTCCGGGAAGAGATCCCAACCGTTGAGAAGGAACCACCGCTGGAATTTATTCCGATTATATAAAAAATAGATGGGGGAGATTACAGATTAGCCAAATGCTGATTAGTAAAGTGTTTTTCTTTTTTGCGCTTTTGGTTTGTTTGTTGTTTAAATTAATTAAAGTAATTCCCAACAACAACAAAAATTTAAATAAACTGATGCTTTGGAATATAATTATTAATTTTTGGGGGGATGAAAATGGAATATTATCTTTTACACGTTCGCTGGGGTCGTTCCAGTCGTTCGTGGTTGGTCTGGTTTCCGCTTTCCGGTGGTTCTAAAGAATCGATGGGTCTCGGGACGAGCGAAACACCAACACGCGTGCACGTGTGGGCCTTTGCCTTTTCAGGCCCAACAGGAAGCATGGATGGCTTTTCAAAAAAAAAACAAAAACAAAAAATAAAGTAGGTCTTGAAAATTGAAATGAGAAAACATTTTTTTAATCATCTTGTGTTTCATAAATCAACGGAGTTATTCATGGCAGTTGAGTCAGCACCATCAATCACCTGCTTCATTTTTTTTCTATCTAAATTACTTGAAATAAGTAAATAAGTAAATAAAAGGCATAACATTACCTTCTTCTTTTTTCAATGGCATAAAATCACTTTTAGTTCTTGTATTTGTTGGATTTTTCATTGATCTATGAGGTTTGATTATACCACTTATATTTAAAGATACGTACAAATTTTCTTTTAATTTCGGAACATAGTAAGTGTGGAGGGTATTTTGAACGATATTGGAAGGAATTTGACAAATTTATTATGCATTGCGAGCGATTTAAAACTAGAAAGATAAAATGACATAAATGATGCTACGAGGATTATCAAAGTTGTAAAATGGGCGAACGACATTTTGCGTAAATATAGTGCTTGATTCAGTAGCCCTTTGACTTGCAGGGAGACCCGCAGACCAAGCTGTCTGTTGTGTCTTACGTGATGGGCTCTGCTACATTTGACTGACATGCCATGCCATGACAAGGGAGCGTAACATCATAGGCTCCGCTGCACAGGCTTGACCCATCAAAAGATATGTCAGTGCAGTCTTTTCGTCATTTCAGATCTTTGTATCTTAGTCTGACGTGGATAAGATTAGATGATTGAAGATCATCATATTTATTTATTTTTTCTTTTGTTTTCACAAATATGATTAAGCAACTCTTTTACACAAAATCAAACCCAGATAAATATTTCTTGCCTCCATATCATAAATATCCTTCCTTGCAAAGAAAAGCATCACAAGTCATCAATTTCCGGGAAATTTTTTGCTTTCTTTTTGGGGTATTACTTTCATCTTCTCCCTCTTTTCTCCTCTTTCCCCCTTCGGAATCTTTAAACTGGAATAACATAGGGTTGGTTGGAAGTTTGTTCAGTCAAAAGAGTTACAACAACCAAAAGCTTCACTAAAAGAAATCAATGTACAAATACACAATGGCCTAAACTAAATCCTCACAGCTTCACCCAAAAGGAAGCAGAAAACTGAATAAACAAAAGACAACACATTACAGAGCCCTTGGCTGAAAGCTACCAGATGCCTTTCAGCTCAGACCACGGGAGCCATTTTAAATTACAACCCTGGAAGACATTTTGCAACGGTGCCCCCATGGGGCAGGCACGCCATTCTACCACTCTTGAAACCCACAAAACACTTTGTGCCATTTCATTCAAAGGAGAACAAGCTTTCAAATTTATGAACTATAATTATACAAATGCGATACCTTTTGTTTCTTTTAACGAAAATTATCCAGCATCCATGCCGTTTTCTTCGGATGGTTGCTAATTCGATAGTGTCATCCATTGGATTCTGATAATATAGCAAGGACCTCACCATCATCAAAGTTTGACTCGACTGCCAGCTCAAGGGGCGTTTTACCATCCCCATTTAATGCTCGTGGATCAGCTCCCCTGCAGATGCAGTCGAACCCCTCAGTAGTGAATCATACATAAGAGGTAAAAATGAAGCATTTAAAAGAAATTGACGACTAATTAGTTAAATATGCAGAAATTGGGAAAGATGTAATAAATGTGTTTTGAAAAACAGCAAATCTAACCATAAGACAATAGTCACCTTGAAAGAAGCAACTTTGCGAATGTGTTTCTGCCTCTGAGAATACAACGGTCAAGTGGTGTTTGACCTCTTGAATCAGTCGCATTCACATTTGCTCCATACTGTAAGAGGAGTTCAAGCATTCCAATGTCTGCAGTTTCACAAGCAAGGTGAAGAAGAGTGCACCCATCTAGATCTTCCACAGCATGGCCTTCACTTGTACCACTCAAGTTTGAAGAGCTAGGAGACGACCTGTCCAATGAATCCCCAGCTAAGCAGCTAGAGGTTTGGTCATGGCTAGTCTGCTCATGCATCAGCATTACTTTGGCAAGGGTTAATGAAGAGGCACATGATGCTTGCTCATACACCGCATTCAAATCTGGTTCAGAATTAACGATGTGACGATATACAGCTTTCTTGTCATTAGCACGAACACCCTCCCAAATCTGTTGTGCTATCAAATGAGTATATTGTGCATCTTTTGGCTTCCGAACAAAAAGCTTTTCTGCATACTATGATCGAAATAAAATAAACATTTAGTTCCACATTTCTGTAGTCTGAATAACATCAGGTAGCATAGGAGATCTTCGAGAACACTCATATATCATAAAGTGGATAAAAATTGGTTCTCAAATCATTGGTATTGCGAGAACTACGATGAATTCAAGCTAGCCTCATCCACATTATGGAGGAACAATGAGGTTATGCCTTTATACACTACGTACAGCCCTTCTTGCAAGATGCCTAAACCATGATCACCTAAAAGCAATAAACAAGAGGATAACAAGTATTCCAATAAGCTGATAAGGTTTCAAAATCTCAAACTACTCTCCACATCTTAGAGCTAATCAAAATATATTCTAGACAAAATTTCTGTCTTTAATATTAGAAAATACGTGTTCTTTAGATTGGGCTGATGTTCTAAAACTATTGCTTCCCTATCAATTTTTTTATTTTTATTTTTTTCAGAAAAGGAATTGCTTCCCTATCAACTTAGTATGTAATACTTGCAATCTTAGCCATTAGACCAAAAAAATTCTAATGTCTTGATGTATCAACTTATCTAGATCATATTCACACATTATCCATCATAATTTAAATTTAAAAAAGGAGAGCAATTCCTTCTGTTTTCAAGTCATCCAATTAGCAACAGCAAGGGACATACCTTTGCATGAATGAATTTCTCCTTTACTGGTATAGAATCACTCTGAGTGGGTTTGCTGATAAAAACTAGCTGTTTTTTATCAGACTTGTATGACCTTCACCAGAAGAATTGCAGTGAATGCTCACAACAGTCAAGTAAAGATGAAACATATACGATACTCGAAAGAGTTGTAACAAAGAATCCCTACCCTGTGGATATAAGATCAACCTGAAAAGCATTTCTTGATTGCAAAAGTTCCTCCCAGACCGAGTTGGCAAAGGCATTACCCAAAGACTGAAACAAATTTATAACAGAAGGCTCCCACGCTTTGACATCCAGTGTAAGAGACCTTACCTGCAGTAAAAGTCACCAAGAAAAAGAGTTGCAAAAATGAGCAACTGATACATATATCATTTTTTTATAGGACCGGTACATATATCATTCCCATGGACACTTTACCCAGTTATAAACAAAAAAGTTCCTATGAAGATATTACAGTCCATATAACATACAGACCAAAACAAAATTCAGTAATTTCCAGCAAATAATAGTTTCCACTTTACCAAGTCATCATGTGAACAATTATTGAATTATCCTGTAATTGTACACCGAATTCATGGTCAGAGGAGAGAATCTCAGAAAAAAGATTTTAAAATATTATCGGACAGTTTACACATTCCAAGTTAACATGTGAGTCATTTCTTAGAAAAAAATATCTCAAACTATTCTTATTGCCTTTAGAAAAGTAAACCACATTACTGGTCAGTTAAAAACAACCACATTAGTAAAAATCATACGAGGAAGGTTCTTTAGATTCCTACTCTATAAATATTTGAGATAGTACGTGTAAAAAAGTAGAGGAAATAACATAATAGTTATTTGATAGGCATGCCTACACAACACTTTTTTAAGAGTGCATGGCTCACAGATGTAACATGTAAAAAGACTAAGAAAATAGAATGATTACCTTTGAGATATGTACACCAAGATTACGATGAACACCAGAACATTCTATGCAAACGAGAACACCAAGATTTAATGATGCCCAATCTGGCTCTGGGGCACCACAATCAGCACACTTATCATTCCCACATACTCGTCGTAGCATGTCGATTGTCTTTTCACTTTTTAAAGAAGACCGTTGCTGTTGTGAGCTTCTCAATGGGCGGTCAGAATGTGCAGTAGGAAGACTCCTCTCAGATGCAAGTTCTTCGACTCCAGTGTGATCAAAATCAGAACTCTCAAATGAACTACTCTCACTGGCTGAACGACGATGGCTTCCCATGGGACTAGCAGGCAGAAACTGAAAAGGAATTGGACAAAAATCATCAAAGCGACTATGAAAATCAATGGCATCATAATCATGCAAAACTTCACAATAATTACCCTCTCAGGAGCCTGAGAGCTAAGTAATGAAGCAATAACCCCTGTTATCTTCTCAATCCAATCCATTTGATCAAGTGCACTCTCTGCCTGCACTGACAAGCATAAATAAATATCATTGCAGGAACCCCTATATACAAATAACCATCACATATTCGCCATAACATAAAATTAAATCCAAGCTCACAAGGGACAGCTACACTGAATCGAACCTGCAAAGTATAGTTCTTTGTCGGTGAAATGATCCTGAAACAAAACCTCAGATCTGACTGGTCAGCATCAACTTTGATAGTTGATGTAAGAAGATTCACTGTGTGATGAGCAACAGATTTCTCATCGTGCACTCCACCATGATAATGAGAAGAAAGCCACCGACTCAGAAGTCCAGAACCAAGTTCAGAACTATTCCTCTGACCAGAAAGTTGGCTACCAGACCCCTACAAGTTATAGACAAACACAGTAACAAAACATTGATATTAAAAATCAAGCCCGGGACAAACTTTAAGCCTTCTGCATCCTAACTTCTTTCTTGTAAAAATTACTTACAGATGGTTTACTGCATTGTTTTCGATAGTAATAAAGCATTCCTCGGCTATCAAGGACAAAAAACCTTCTTTTCCAGTCACCCCTCAAGTTCGAGGAACGTTTTGAGAGATAACCTTGCCTAATGGTTTGAACCTGATTATTGATTACTGTTATATTCTGTCTGTAGTATTAAATGTAGACATGAAACAAAAGCAACTGCAATATCAAAATGCATAAAGAAGTGGAACATAGATCACGTAAATAAATTAGGCAATAACTGGGGAAAAAAAAAAAAAAGCTTCTTCAAACCTTTCCCTTTGCAGCAGACTGCATAACGGCCTCTATCATTTTATGTGAACTTCTACCAATGGCTTGTATCCCGTCTCCATTAGGAGATCCATTAGAACCATTGGAAGACCACCTACTCTCCCGATCAACCTGTCTTTTGTATTCTTGCATCCTTTCGTTAAGAGCTGCCTGTTCATAGTTGGATCTTTCTCTTGATTGTTGAGCATAAGTCAAGACCTATGAAATAATAAGAGGTCAAATTTTCAATTATTCTCATTACAAACAGAATAGAAAAGTTAGGAATATAAGAATCTCAAATATGATTTAGATTTGGCTTAAATATTACACTAACATACACATTTATAACAAACCTGATTAATATATGGCTCCATTTGATGCAACAACTCATAACCCTACACATGAAAAAGCTTTAAGGTCAACAAACTAGTGATAAAGCATGTGAAAAGGACAGAAAACCTGGCTTCCAATTCACCTGTTTGAAGTAACGAAGATGTGCATCCATTGTTCCACTGACTGCTTCCAGAAATTCAAACCTCTTTTTTGCTTCAACATTAGAAAGAGCAGTCACCTGCAAATAAAAAGGTCCAAATCATAACGCCAATGTTTCAATTACATGAAATCATTGATTTCGAAAAGGACAGCTTCAAGAAACTTACCAGACTAAAACGAGCTTGCTCAAACGTAGACCTTGCATTATGAAGTTCCTGCAATATCTCTAAGCTGTATTAGAATGTAAAGAATGGATAATTTTCAATGCCATAGATAAGAACATATATTAACAAATATAATTAGAGTTTGCACTGCATAGTACCTCCTCTAGCATGGAAGCTACATCGTTCTTTGTGCCTTTTCTCAATGAGAGAAATTTCTCGCGAGCCTGCGGTAACATAAGTATCAAACTACGTATGACATACTCAATTAATTTCAAAGAGTCTTATTAATCCCAAATTAGCTGCAAGATCTATCAATGATTCAAATCCCAGATTAAATTATGAAAAACAAGGTTGTTATATACAACTGCAAAAAAAAAAAATATAGAAAAAGGCAAGCTCTAACAAATCAAAGATACAGGAAGAAATTACACCAACAAATCTCTCCCAAACAAGTTCCCAAAAAATACAAATGAATCTGGTGTGGTTCTACTAGATTTCAACTAACCTACAGAACTATCTTTCAAGATACCTCAGACTTGATTAGAACATGAAAAATAAAATAAAAATCTTTCTACAGTTGCAGGAGATCCTGCATTTATTATTAAAAAAAATGCTAGCAATATTTTACTGGAACAGATCATTCTATTTTCTAAATTCAACACATGAGAAAATAGTCACTAAATGCATGGAAGTTCCTTCAACAAAAGAAGGAAATTAATTTAGGATCTGCAGCACACACCTGGTCATAAATAAGGCTAGCCTTGTCAAAACGTTTCCGGGCCTCCTGCACAAAGACAATACTCCATTCAACGCTAACTACAAGACACAAATGATACTGACAAAAACAAGGAGATAAACCTAAATAGCCTGATGCAGGAATTTTTCACAATACCTTGACCTCATGCAAATCAATATTCACAAATTGTAACAGTCTGTCATTTAGCATAAGCTCAACCTGTAAAGGAGAGGAAAAACAGGTTATACAATAGCTTGACATTATGCATGACATAAAATAAACTGCTAATCCAACAGGCAACGAACACAGAGAGCTACAAAAAAAAGGATCATGGAAAGCCATTTGACTAGGGAATCTAAAGCATATTAAACTCCCTGTGACTGCATACGCCACAATGTGTTCTGTCAGCCATAACATGTATGCAGTTAGAGTTACTTTTGCTCAAGTAAAGCCTCATCATAGTAAAGCAAAAACTTCAAAAGATGGAAATGATATCAAGCTTCAAAATGGAATTCTTCACAAGCCTAAATTGAGAAGAAACCATTTCAACTAATAACGAACATCTCTCAAACAGCATATTGAATTGATATTCTGGGAACAGCAGCCAAAATATTGTGATTGCAAAAACAGAAGGAAGCCTTTAGCTTGCAGCAACAGATAAAACAAAGTTATCACCTGAGATCGAAGAACTTCCTTGTATGTCCCAATTTCTCTCAGTGCTATCGTAAATTTGGTCATAACAGGGCCTAGAGAAGAAGACAGGAGCCAATTAATAAATGCCAAAAGCAGCTTATACCTGCTTCTAATAGTCGTTTCAACAACATGCACTATCTATGAATTTTTTTCCTTTTTGTTTAATTTTCTTTTGGCTAACACACAAAATCCTGATAACAAATAAAAGATTATAGTTCAAATTTGGTCCGAATGGAAAAGAATTGGGTGCACTTGGGTGACCCCAATGCACCCACCAATGAAGCAACTAGAAAAGAAAATCACCAATGTCTGATACTCTTTATGATGACAAATTGACATACCTCCAAAAGCCACACTAATTGGATCATTATGCCCCCCGCCAAAAGTTTCTAGGGCACTAGCAAAAGCAATGTCCCCATCATATGCTTCCCCAAGTCCTTCACTGCAAGCAAAAACAAAAAGAAAAAAAACTTTAAGTAATTCCCTGACAAACAAAACATGTTTAGCAAAGGTTGATTCCATCCAGCAAAAACAAGATAAGGAAGATCCAAAACCACTTATCAATGACTACATACCGCAGCAAAGTCCATAACTAGTAATTATGTTTATGTCATGAACATCTGATAGCAAAAGTTCACTGCCCACATATAATGGATATAACAGAATGCAGTGACAGGAATGGAGATAGCAACATTATTCACAAGCATCACAAAGTAAATACAATAAGAAGGGGAAGGGGGGTGCTATTTAACATTCGCTACACTCGACATTTTCAGAGCCTGCGTAATATAAACCCCGAGCAGGGTATAAGCAGATTTAAGAAGTCAGGGAACTATAACACACACATCTTTGCAAAGCTTCATATTTTCAGCCCTCTGCAGAGAATACAAATACAAATACAACTAACTAACCCTCTGTTCTTCTACAGAATGCGAAATCGGTGGAAGTTAAACAGAGACATATTATTGAAAAAACAAATTAGGTTGGACTGTCTTGCAACTCAGAAACAACAGGAGCAAACTAAAACCTTTTCAACTTTAACTTGCATAACTCACATCAATTCATTTCAAATTATACAACTGGCAAATGCTAAATAATTCAGCAATTTAAGGGATATGGCAGATGGCATTTGTGCCAATGGCCAAACTTTAGTTTCTCTTCCGGAATTTCTCAGCGGCCAAACATGGCATTGGAATGAGGAACAAAATGTGATAACCAAACCACGCAAACAAAGAGAGATATAAGAAGCCAAACGGCAGAGAGAGATAGAGAAAGAGAAAACCTGCTTGCGGAACATAGGAGAGTCATCGAGCTTTGTGAAATGCATGTTTAAGAGCGCGATTTCTCTTCCAACTTGCCAAGAAATATCAATAAGCACTAAGACAATACTCCATCTTCGCTGATTCTAAGCACTTAACCTCGTTCATCAAGATCTTGCACATTTTAGATTTTGCTCCAATCTACCAAAACCCACGATTAAGCAAAACCCAGTAGAAATCACATCCAAACAAACCCCAGCATCTATATCATCAGCTGATTCAGCTCCAGCTGCATGGATTTCAACCCCCCACTTTCAAAGCTACAGAGCCTCCAAACTCTTTTTTCTATTTTTCCTTTTTTACTATTTTTGTTTCAGCTTCAAAACCCTAGAAGTAGCAGTACGGCCCACCCCAAACAAAAACAAGAGAGAGAAAGACAGAGGGAGTGAGAAGGAAGGAACCCTAAGAAAGAAAGAGGCAAGAAAACATTTTCATGAGGCTTTGAGCCCTTTTGGTTAAGCTTAGCGCCACACCCACTTAATTAACACTAAACTAATTAAGATTAAGATTTAGAGCACTGAGAAACTCAGTCTCTTGGCAATTTCATTAAACCTGAGAATGTCGAAAGAGACAGACAAACCCAAAAACCTCTCTTTGATAAATGCGAGAAATAACACCTCCTTCCCCAAAAAGCCCTTCTCTTTCCTTTTTTTCTCGCTTTCTTTCACTTTCTCTTTTTATCTCTCTGCTTTTATTTGCGGGGATTTGACTTCCTTGTTACTTGTTGGGAAAGAATGAGAAGAATCAGCAGCCCATGGGGACGACGACGTCGTTTCGGGCCCTTGTATTCTCTTCCAACAGTTTTCTGCGACTCTCTCACCGTCTCTCTCTCTGACAGTAGTTAACTTTACAGGGGTACGAGAAACGAGGACGACTGGTCGTCCCAACGCAACCTTCTCCGCGCGTCGTTTGAAATTTGTAAGGACGACTCGTCGTTTGGATCCAGCGGCCCCCGATGGAAGTCCGTTGCTGAAACGCTCTAAGGCTGGCAGTTGAGGAGCGTGGGGATTGGACACTCAATCTGAGAGATGCTTCTGTCAAGCACACTATGGGCACTTCATTGAGGTGGGGCCCGCCGTGAAATTTCCCTCCATATCCATGCCCGACAGACAACACTGGACTGGTCTTTCGAACAGTAAGCAGAAAACAAAACATTACAATAGTATTTAATAAAAGTGTTATGCAATTACCAATAATAAAATATCAGACAACGAAAATCACTCTTTTTTTCTCAGATCTAAAATTTTGGGGAAATTGGAAAAATAAAATAAAATAGATTTTTTTTTCTCAGGTGGCTCATGGACCAGTGATGTGGTCCTTATATGGGCTGGAAAATATTCCCGGCTAACGCTCCGACTGACCACGCTTTCCTGTACAACATTAGAGTACAAGCAACATATCACCTATCTTCTTTTATCGTCAATTTAAAATCTATGAAATTGAAAATGTGTGATAAGAACATTTGTTATATTGGCGACGCAAGATGAACACAGGGAGTTTTTTAATAATGATTTTTGCTACAAACTAGTTAATGAATTTTAATCTTAGTCATTCATCAGATATGTTAGCGGGTTGAATATTTTTAAATATGTATCATACAAGTCCTTTATGTAGTTAATAGAGACTTTTTCGATTTTTCTTCTTCTTTTTGGATAAGGTAAGGGAAATTACAACACAAAGCCACAATGACAACCAACAGATAAGGAATCCCAACTAGCAGCTCTTGTTGCAAAAGAAGGCAGCTAAGCGAGCCAAACGTGTCGATAAGGAATATGATGACCAATAGTTGCCAACACAGAGACTTTTCCGATTGGTATATATATTTGTGTGTGGTTTATTTTTTGCCAAGGGTGGTAGGTTCAAAGTTTTCCATTTGCAAAGCCACAATGACAACCAACATATAAGGAATACCAACTAGCAGCTCTTGTTGCAAAGGAAGGCAGCTAAGTGAGCCAAACGTGTCGATAAGGAATATGATGACCAATAGTTGCCAACACAGAGACTTTTCCGATTGGTATATATATTTGTGTGTGGTTTATTTTTTGCCAAGGGTGGTAGGTTCAAAGTTTTCCATTTGGCACCTAAGTGAATCCAAAAATAAAATAGAACATTTCATCATGGTCTTTTTTTATCCCAACAAGAAGAAAAAAAAAATGTTTGAGGATTAGCTAGGGTTTGTAGGGTTGTAGGCTTACAGGAGACCAAAAGAAGGATTTACCTTTGATGAAACAAAATATGATGGCATAAATTGCTGCACAAAATGCGTTGCTTTTGGTAATTAACTGCAGCTTGATTAGTAAGAAATACATGTATGTCATTTAGAAAGAGTGCTGTTATTTCCACCTACCTTATTTTCTCACCCACTATATAGATTTGAAAAAACACAATCCTATTTTTCCACCCACCAATTTTCCTAAAATGTCCTTTAATTATTAATTCAAGCAAAAAAACTTGAAACTTATAAATAAATAAATAAATAAATAAAAACCAGCACAAACTTCCCTCATCGATGACCCACCTCCCCCATCTCCTCCTGCCACCAACGTGGATCACTTGTGGGTTTAACAAGAATCAATGAATCATATTATTAACCCATAACCCAAGCTGGAATATCTGGTTGGGGAGGTTGTCTTTTATAATCAGCTTGATTCTGCTTTACGTTTTGGTGCAGTCTGGCTAGCATATGGTTGCGATGGGCGTCTTCTTCTTTATGCAGGTTTGCTTTTCCATGCACATTCAATTTACTCTTTATCAATTATATGAATTGTATTGTGTGTTTCCTCTTCTGTTCAGTGTATATGGTGTGAATTAACATACCCCGATTCATTTACTTCTTTATTCATTTTATTTTAGTGGTGTGTGGGGGTGTTGGCAGGTATTTTACTTCTTAGATTGGGTTAGGCAGGCACCTACTGAGTGACAGAAAGATGTTTCAAGCCTTTCTAAGGATCACTGTCACCTGCGCAGTAGGCGTTGGTGTTGTTGCTTTGGGAGTCGGCACTACATTTGGGTATATCCCTCCATGGTATGGAGAAAGTTTGTGATGGGTTGAGGTTTTTGTCCTTAGAAGTCATTTTACAAATGGGTAAATTTGTCTTTAAAATTTTGAAAATAAGGTGGATGAGAAAATAGAACAGGTGGGTGGAAATATAAACACTCTTTAGGAATTGCATCATCTATTAATTTCTCTATCAAAAGCCACATCAATATTAACAATAACCCTTCCGGTCAGATAAGGTGCGGCAGAAAAGTAAGCAGCCATGAAAATTATTTGGAGAAGCACTTGCAGAAATTAGTTGTGAGTATATGCTTTTTTCCACAGTGGATGGCAATTTTCTTCGTAAAAAGAAGAATCGAAATGGAAGTACTTTTTAACTTTACGATCACGACTATGGCCTCTTTTTGACCATTTTGCCATTCTTTTTCTTCGTATAGGTGAAGTTGCCGTCACTTTAGTGTTCATTTACAATTAAATATTCCGGTAATATTATTATTTTCTCTGCATTTTGATTAATACTTTAACAAAATGACTGAATGTGAAATAAAACTGACCACTTTGTACGGGTGGACAAAACAATTGAGTTTTACCAAGCCATGTGCAATATGACACAAGGGTTTAGAGAATCTTTTTTGTACAATTACACAGGCAGAAAGTTGCCGAGGAGCAGCAAGTTTTATAGACTTGGTAGTCATGTAGTGCGCTGATCATTGCCCCCTTGAATTATTATATAGATGTAAGGCTAGGTTAGTACAATACATCATAGTGCATTATCTTTTTCGACTTGATAAAATTATATAATTGAACTATGCTTACGCTTGGAAAAGTGAATTCGCTCATCTGCGCATGAATGAGGAGGTGATTTTCAATCGCATGCATATCAAACGCATTCATATGCACGACTGTTCTTAATATTTCTCGTTAACGTCTCTTAAACTTTTACTGTCGCCCAATTTATAGCAATATTGCTCGGCTAACAAAAGAACATACACAGTGCAACATGATCCAAGAATCATCTTCTTTTGGAGGAGGAGGAGCCAGAATTTAAATTTAAACACGTGTGATGCATTCAGTGACAACCAATACCTGAGGATGTACACTCAAAAGCCAATGGATCGATGCACATAA